CAGGGCTTATATGACATGCTTGATATAACAGTTTGTAATAATGACATGGATATGTGTGCTCGTTCGTTTGTTTATGCACTCATGCTGCAATGCGTGTATAGTCGCACAAATAATGCCAGTAATAGTATATAAAGGTTCAGAATCTTCATAGCCTGAACTCGAACTGTTGTGTTGGTGATGATAGCCGTTTTTGTAATATTCGATGACCATGATGACAATAATGATGCCGATGATGATGCTGCTGCTACAAAATAAGTGTTTCCTTAGCAGCAGCAATGGCAATCGTCGTAGAGGCCGTGATGCCTGGACCCGGAGGCTAGTGTAGAAGCTCAACAATCGTAGTCGAAGTCTAGCCAGACTACGAAAATGAAGAACCCCAAGACATGCAAACACTAAGCCTGAATACACAAGCGTACTACTTCCTCAATACACGACTTTGACTTAGTCACTACGTAGGTTCTAGGTTTATTGTTTTATATCAGGACACCCCCACTCAAGGTCGGTGTAAGCCTTCGTTAACTTACCCACTGAGTCCGCTGAGTCCACTTAGCCTTGAAGTAGACGCGATGCCTCACACACTGCTCATCCCCGACCCCACACCCGGAGCCTAAGACACGTACCTTGTTGGGCTCATTGAAACGATTTCTTTTTTTAAGTCCTGAAAAAGGCAGGTACCTTCGAGTTCCAACCCCTGAGCCCTAGCCGAAAGGCCAGACTTTAAACTTAGACTCTAACCCCTGCGAAGTGTGATGACTAACAGAGAAGCGAGCAAGTTACCGACACCGTTTCCTGGGGTTCCTGATCAGGGTTTTATCATTCTTAAGCCTCCCGCCCTTCTTCTCGGTTTTGTTAAGGGAATAGGGATCTATAGCCAATAATATGTGTTCCTGATTGCGGTGCCTTTAAATTAAGTTCCTTAGCAAGAACCCAGTCTTGCCCCAGGATGGCAACGAAGTCATCCGTCTGGCGAATGGCCAAGTGCTGCACCTGGACGTTCGCGACGACATCCGCGAGAACGACGAGGCTTTGGGATTTGTGGGGCCCCCGGCCCTTCAAGTAGAGCCTGACCCTAAATCTGAGACTCCCTAAACCCTCAAGCCTGAACTCCCTTAACACCCAGTCCTAGACCCTAAAATCCTAAACCGTTGCTAGTGGTCTTGAAGCAGATCCGCTGTTCAATGGGGGTGTAAAGTGCGAGGGCGTCGTCACCCTGGGCGACGGTACGACGTGGTCCGGTGATTTTCCGCTTTTCTGCCCGGCTCGCACAGAACTGGGTGAGAGAATCGAGAATGAGCACATATTCAAAGTTCATGGGGGTGCCACGGCATGCCACGGCGTAACATGACCAGTCAGCCGTTGCCCGTCACGGGCCAATGATGGCCAGGGCGTCCCTGATACACGAGGTTGTCGTGATGCGCAGATTCGGCGACTCCTTCTTCTACACGCCCCTGGTCGGCCCCACCGGCGTGGCTTGACTTGCTGTGGGGAGGCCAGACAAGACGCTCGCTCGTCGCTGCGCAAAACACTAGTTTTCCCACTCCTAGGGGAACACTGCGGTCACCCGCCTGGCGAACGTGCCGGAGGCACAGCTGAAGTCTACGCTGAAGAGTTCCCAACTCTCGCCTTTCATTGGATTTGCCTCCTTGCCCGCTCTGACCCAAGAACTGGGCCACCCTCTCACAGCTGCCGGCGGGGCGATGACGGATAGCCGTGCATGCTAAATCCGAAGCCCTAAAAGCCCAAACAGAAATAGCTGATGAAATTAAAGAGCTACAACTAGACGCTAAGCCCTAAGCTTACCCTTACCTCCTCCAACAGCAGAAGCCAGAGTTCCGAACACGCACAACGGAGGGGTTCACCCTACTCCACATTGTTTAATGGCGATAGTGGACCTCATAGACCGCAATATGCTGGTCTTACCCAGTCGAAGTAAATCCCGTTCTAGTCCCTGTATAAATGAACATACTTTCATGTATATAGGCCCATACCCTACTCCAATTATGAAGGCCCCTGTGAAAGTCGTTCTTAGGACCACAATCAGCCGGTGCTTGTTGCAGATTTTGTGTAATATACTATAGGTGCCTTGTTGGTGTGAACAATGTTTGGGAGGTTCTTATGCTAGAACAAGGAACCCCATGCGACAGTATTTGCGATAAGCCTCAACCCGGAACCCTGAACCGTCTTTTATGCGAGGGTTTGTGCAGGCTGGCTCTTGGAAAACACAGCAGATCTCTCGGAGTTTCAGGGTTTCACTTGTGACTCCAAGTAGGCATGTTTTTTTAGGATTCTAAGGGGCACCCGTAGCTTGAAACCGAAATCAATTTAAGCACTTGCAGAAGGTACTGGAAGTTTATCGTTGGCCTACAGAGCATTTGCAAATATAAGCTCAATATTGGGGCAACAGGATGCTACAGGTAAACCTTATAAAACAAAATACCCAAAGCCCTAAACCCTAAACCCTCTAAACCCTAAACCCTACACCCTATAAACCCTGAACCCTATAAACCCTATAAACCCTAAACCCTAAAAAACCCTTAAAACCCTAGCCTATAAACCCTAAACCCTAAAAACCCTATAAACCCTATAGACCCTATAAACCCTATAAGCCCTATAAGCCCTATAAACCCTATGAACCCTGAACCCTATAAACCTTAAACCCTGTAAACCCTATAAACCCTATAAGCCCTATAAGCCCTATAAACCCTATAAACCCTATAAACCCTATAAACCCTATAAACCCTATAAACCCTATAAACCCTAAACCCTATAAACCCTAAACCCTATAAACCCTAAATCCTAAACCCTACAAACCCTGTAAACCCTATAAACCCTATAAACCCTATAAGCCCTATAAACCCTATAAGCCCTAAACCCTATAAACCCTATAAACCGTATAAACCCTAAATCGATAACCTAGAACTTTGCATCCTCGGAGTTGGGCGGGAGCTCGCAGAAGGAAGCCCCCAAAACCTTGCAGGGCAAAAGGGGCCAAGGGACCCAACGATTCGGTACCCCGTTTTAGGAGAGTAGATATGTGAGTGAAATAGTAGTTGGGAGGGTATATGATGACAAGGCACTTGGACTCAACACCTAAACCCCGCTAAACTCTAAACTGTTGGGGTAGCAGGACAACATCACCCTCATGATGACCGCAGATGACCCCCGCAGCGCCATTCGCCGAAACCTTGGCAACACGAAAGGCCACGGGCTTTGGCTTAAGGCTTCGAGTGCCTAAGCTTCATGGGAGCCTCAAGAAACCGTAAACCTAACCCTAAGGGTCAAAAGGACCCAATGTTTTGGGATAGCAGTTCTGTAGATTAACTACCGTAGTATATTGGAGAGTATATGCTTGGACCGGGGTAAGATCCATGGAAACACCAAACCCTGAAAGCCATAAGCCCTATACTGCACCACTGTGTGGGTGATCAGGGTGTTTATTAGAGAGCGTGCTTTGCGGCTCAAACGTCTAGGAGTATAGTCTAGTGCTTCTTCAGAGGGCTCTTGCAAGGGTTCCTTTATATCGGTTCTGTATGGGTTGTAGGGTTCGGGGGGTTTCGATTCCACAATAATTCAAGTTTCATGGCAGATTTGCCGGTGAGGATGTGCCAAGCTATTGTGAACCGGAATCCCAAAGCATAGGCTTGCAGGGCCAAGGTGTAGCCAGGGTTGCTATTTATAGTATGTTATGCCCCCAAAGCCTATTCTAAGTATCAAGGCCCCTATACTACGGACCCTTACCATAGATCCCTTATAGACCCCTTAAAGCAACTCTTTAGCAAGGCCCCTAAACCATGACTGCATAGGACTTTGACTTGAACTCGGCAATGAAACCCCGGAGAAGAGTAGAACCCTAAACTTACACCCAGAACCCCAAATCCCTAAACACCCTGAACCCCAAAACCCAAAATCCTGAACCCTTTAAACCCTATAAGCCCCTATACCCCAAAACCCTAAACGCCCTAAAACCCTGTAAACCCTGAAAAAACCCTGTAAACCCCAAAACCCTCAGCCTTAAACCCTAAAGCCCGGAGGCCCCAAAAAAGGTCCCTAACAGCCGAAGAGCGGCAGCGCATGCCCTGGAAGACCGACCATACTTGGAGGATCATGGGACTTAGTAACTAGGGTTATAAATAAGGTAACTGTACTTATAACTCCAATTAGGTACTTATAACCTTACTTACTAAGTCCCATGATCCTCCAGGTATAAACCTACTAAAGAGGGGAGGGGTTCTAGGGGTTTGGGGTTTGGGGGTTTCGAGTTTCTAGGGGTTTGGGGCCTCTTGGGGTTTCTAGGGTTTTGGGGTTTAGGGGTTTAGGGTTTCGGGTTTGGGGGTTGGGGCCAAGTTTAGGGTTTAGGGAGTTTAGAGTGCAAGGCCTAAGCCTCCTAAACAGAGCAAGGACCCCGAACTATGAAGCGGGCGCAGGGTTAAGGCTACTTGGAGGATCATGGGACTTAGTAACTAGGGTTAAGGTAACTATGCATGTGCTTACATAATTAAGCATAAGTTTAGGGCGCAGTTTAGGTTGGGGGTAGACAGATTTAGGGTTCCAGAAGGCTGAGCATTTCCCGGAGAGAACCCTAAATCCCCAAGAACAGGATAAATCGAGATTGTGTGAATTTCGCTGCGAACTGCTTTTCATTAGTTTCGAATTATCGTTTAACTCCCATCTCTCACCCATTTAGCCGAGCCAGTCCTGGCTGCCAGCCCAGTCCGCAGGACAGCCAGCCCAGCCCAGCCCTTTTCAACCCGGCAATACCCTCCAAAACCGGACCCAAACCCTATACAATTTCTATGACAACCAGCAAGCCCAGCGCCCAGATTAGAGACCGGAGCCCAGAGCCCAAACCTCAGGCGAGCAGGATAGTTGCTGTATGGTGGTTCGGCCGCACATCTGCTCTGCCAAGCGGTTGGAGCCGAAGCAGGGGAGCTTTCGTAGAGCCACTATTGACAGCAGTATACATCCTCTTATTAAGCACAAAAGGCGGAACGCTGAAGTACATGCCGGAGTTCGCCCATCCACCGTGCTGGGCCCACTTCCTCAGATTTGCCGTGCATGTGAAGCAGGTGCTGTCTTAGGAGCTCCATGACGCTTTCATTGCAGGGGTTACACTCTGGGAAGTGCTCGGCAACGAGTGACTCCCAGATCTCCCCGAAGCTCGGGTTTCGCGCCATCGATGTTTTGGTGGCCCTCTCCGCCATTAACATCGCGGAGCTGGAAGGTCCTGTGGGCGAGCAGTCAATGACGTTCAATCTAGCTTTTGTGGTCGGCAGGGCCTCCAGTAATCAAGAGGCGAATGAGTGCTTCTTGCCTTTGTCGCTGCTTGCTTGCTACGCTTGGCAGTGCCCGTATTCTTGCGTCAAGACCTTTCCGTCACCCAAGCACTGCATGATCCATGGGTGCAGGCAGCAGGGTGACAATGAGATCTGTACTTGCAGAGGGCATGTTGGACACCATCCACTTCGTGCAGGCTGGTTCCCCGTCAGCCGCCGAGCAGAAACTGAATGCATGATGTGATATATGTGTGATTTTCAGTGCTGCTGCGGTCATATTTTGCTCACGAGCGTAGGAAGACAATCGCAGGCATAGTAAGCCTAGGTATATATGCATATATATATATATATATATATATATATATATATATATATATATATATACAGACATACATAGGTCCTTAGTTCATGCGACAAGAGCAGGGCATCGTTACTTTCGGCGAGCATGTCCTCAATGAGAACCCCTCGGCAACAATCAACGGCGCCAAGCTTCGTTCGAAGGGCATCGTCTTGAAGGAAGGCGACGTCGTGATCTTCAACATGTCGTCGTGACGTGTTGCTTCATCAAGAAGAGCATCCATAGACGTTTGCAAGTCACGTTGGTGCGGTAGATGTCTCTGTGAAGCTTCGGTTGCTCATGATTCACTGGCTGACGCTTGAGTTGAAAAATCCGAAGCTTCAGTATCCATTTGCTGAGTGTCTTGAGCTTTTTTGTGCATCAAAAGCTTGAAATTTCCGTAGCATTTGTGCTTGAGCGAATTGTCATAGACCTCATCACTTATCCTCTGCTTCATTGCAATGCCGACGACAAAGAAGGGCTTTGGACTGTTGTCACGCTAGCGCATCTGAGGAGGGTTGAGGAGGCCACAGCCCAGCCCAGCCTGCCAAAACCTCCCAAAACACCCCCCAAAACTCCGGACCAAACCCTATACAAGAGTTTGAGCGCCCTCAGCCACAGCCGCCCCAAATAAAAAAACAACCAACTCGGCCAAAATTTTCGGTCAAAACCGAGGTCGCCACCCCAACAGCCCCAGCTTGGCCTCCACTCCATGCCCTAAATCGAAAATGGTAAACCTGGGCCGTCCACCCTCAGCCTCTCGTCCCGCCTCCAGCCTGCCTCATGTCAAAACTGGTCAACCAACCAACCAACCAAGAATTCAATAGCCCCAGCCCAATCTAGCCCAAATTTTTTGCACCGCGCCAGCCCGAGCCCCGGGCCCCGCCACAGACCCCAACCTCAAACCTGAACCAGCCATTCAATGAATCCCCCCAGCCCACAGCCTCAGACCGAATATAGGGGCCTTACTAATTAGAATATAGGGTTGTGGGGCCCATTATACTGTCATTTAATAAGGAACCCCCTCAATGGTGTTGGTAGCTATCTAGGCCTCTATACTAGACGAAATGTGGGAAGACTTGAGCTCGACGTTTGGTAAGCACCAAACCCTGCTCCCGTTGTGGCGCTTCAGGGAGGGTCTCGGGAATTAGGGGTCTGGGGTTTAGGGGTTTCGGGGCTTAGCGGCTTAGGGAATTTAGGGTTTAAGGGTTTCGGGGCTTAGGGAAATTAGGGAAGTTTGAGTTTAAGGCTTCAGCTGTTGAGATTTGAGGTGTAGGGGTTCAGGCGATCATGGCGTGCACTATTCTTACCCTGAAACCGGTTCATAGGCCCCTTCGCCAGGGGTTCACAGCGGCATGATCTACGAAGAGACGAAGAAATTCGAGTCGCGCCTCGGCTATGATTCGATTGGAAACGGGGATTCGTTGCTTGTGGTGTTTGACCCTAAACCCTTAAACACTAAACCCTAAAGTTTAAGTTTTAGGGTTAAACCTTTCAAGCCCCAAACCCTCGAACCCATAGACGTGAACCGCTAAACTAAGCCGCTTAAGCAGCTTATTGTTCCGTGTAGAAAACCCAGACACCCTAAACCCTATACCAGTAAGCCTCTAAAGCCTAAACCCTAATAAGCCGTATAGGCAGCTGCGCTTTTAGCGACCCAGGCTTTACGACGCCTTCGATGCGAAGCCCAGGCGTCCAACGAGATCGCGAGATCGCCGCTCGGCTGCACAGGGTTCTGGGGTATCGTCAGGTTCAGGGAAAAGGGTTTAGGGCTTAAGGTTTTGGGTTTAGGGTAAATGATGATTATATTATCGTAAGAGGCCCTAAACCTTATACACAAAACCCTAGATCTTGTCATGATTGCGGGAGTATGAGGGAATGTTCTTACTTCTTCGGCTCTCAAGCCCACTCCTCTTGGTCTTAGAGGTTTTGGGTTTAGGGTTTGTAGGGCTTAGTGATAGGACCCTTGCCCTGTAATTACAGCAACACTCCTTCTAGCTCTTTTCGCTCCGCGGAGGCTGCGCGGAAGGCGGAGCGACAAAAGAAGAGACCCTCCAGCAGCCAACCTTTGGAGAGCGCCCCCGCCAAGGCATCACCTTTGGCCAACAAACCCTAAGCCCCCAAACTTTCTTTGGTCGCTTTAGCCCTAAGCCTTCCTGAGCTCTTGCGCCGAAAAGCCGTGAAAGGCGTTCCGACCCACCCCAACAGGGAATTTCAGTTAGTTGGGCCTGAAGGGATGGACCATTCCTTGAATGTAGGATGTTACCTATAGTCACCATTGTAGTACTTTTTCTTGATGGTACCGATTTTACGTACAGTGCGTTAGGAAGGTCAGGGTTTATACAGATTTACGGTTTCCCCTTTTCGAGAAATAGGGCCAGATTAGGGCACAGCTCACGTAGGCTTAGGATTCGCGCAGCTTCTTCCAATGGAGTTCCAAAGGTCTTATACAGTAGGGTACCTCAACACATGTGGCCCAGGGCAAGACTCGTTTCAACCGCCTTACGCAATCAACGCAGCATCGAAGCTCGTCATACCCCGCAGTGTACTCAATCCAGCGTTGTGATCCTACGTTATCCGAACTCCTAACACAATTAGAAACCTTAAGCGTTTCACAAAACATCCTGGGTTCAGTGGTTCCCAAACCTGCAAACCCTAAAGCATTAATCCTGAACTATGTATTGTATACCCTAAAGCCTCAATCCTGAACCCTAAAACGCAACCCGAGGTGCCAAAGAGCGGCTGACACGTCGCAACCAGCACGGAGAGCTTGTTGTCGGTGGATGAGGGCCTCCATGCACCCAAGAAGCCCAACCCTAAGGGTCCATGTACCTATATACTATATACATGGGCCTTAAAGTAGTCCCCATATAGGTACTCTAGGGCCAAAGTATCTAGTATATGGGTACATGGACCCTTTGGGCAACAGCCCTGAAGGATCTCAGAGTACGTTTGGGGTCCTTGACCTTAGGGTTATCAAGAGTTCTTTTCATTTCGGTAAAACTCCAGTGGATTGTTGTTATTGTTTTGTTGAAGTCCGATTTTTTAAATCAAGTTTGAACCCTAAGCCCCTCAGCCCAAAGCCTTGAGCTCCACAGCAAGCTGAAGATCGGCAGGCTTCTCGGCGCATGACTAGAATGTACAGGCCGTTTAACCTCTGCGCCGGAAGATTTGAATATCTGGTCGGAATGCATGGCTTTTTTACAATCGAACCAACCCTAAAGCCCTAAACCATAAAGCCCATTAAGCTCTAAACTTTGGCCCTAAACCCTAAACCCCATTAAGCCTTATAAACCCTAAACCATGGCTCGGGTCTTGTTGCAATCGAGGCCTTCAGGCCCTGTCTGCGAGACTGCGTTAAACCTGAAACATCACCATCTTTAATTCCTAAACCCTAAACCCCGAAACCCCTAAACCCTAAACCGTTCCATTTCAGGGTTTAGGGTTCAGGGCTAAAGCACATTCGAAATCCAACCAAAAGTCTCTCCTGAACCCTGAAACTTCGGCTTCATGGATGAAGACCTAGTTAATCTTACACCCCAGACAGATCGACAGCCTACAGCTCTGTTTATGATAATTGTACAGCCTTGGGTTAGACAAGCCCTAAAACGTTTGAAGTTCACCTTGAACCATAATTGCGAGTCAAGCGTTCGTTTTAGACGTACTTGTACGGGGTTAAGGCTCAAACCAGCGAAATCCAAAACCTTAAGCCCTAAATCCTAACCAGTCTACACCGTAAACCCTATACCGTATGCCTCGTGCCGGTATTTTGTTTTTCAATAGTTGAAAGTTTGCTCTAAGCCCTTGCGTCTTCACTTTTACCCTAAAACTTTACACTGCCCCAGACTTTATACCACAAACCTGAAAAGGCTCTAGGGTTAAAAACGCGAGACCTTACCGTCCTTACCCCTGCACCCCAAGCTTCAGAGCTTTCAGCTGTCGCCCGTCTCCTGCCAGAGATGGCCTTTGGATTTAGCTTCGGGTTGAAAATCTAAGGGTTCAGGGAGCACCATGCTCCGACCGGTCACCTCTGAAGACAAGTCAGGGGCAGGTGGCTGGATTGGTGAAGGCGTTTGTACAGACCGATCCATAATTTTCAGCCTTGCTTCTCTCATAGAGAGAGCCACGACGCAAGAGCTCGCCAACCTACCGGGTCCCAACTCCCGCCCCTGATTCGAAAATGATGTTTGATCATGCTTGAACAAACTTCGAATAATGGACACCTACTTTTTCTATCGAAGGTAAGTACTTACGATCTGACAGACACAAAACTAAATGGAAATACATTTCAGTTTAATAACTTACTTAGGGCTCGCTCGTTCGATCTAGCTAGCTATCTTTGCATCTACCATCATAGTATATCATATTTCTCTCTATCTTGTTTAATCTTTCTAATTTCATGCATCTTTGTACTTCATTTTTACTATTATAGCTATCTCGATTTTTGTATAAAAAGTATATCTGAATATATTAATTGAAATAACACAACCAATCTACTTACATTGTATATAAATATGAAAGGTATATCGATTTCTTTGCTTCGCAGAATAATATTCATATCTGTAGGTTATGATTGGTATAATGGTATCTTGTTGTGAAGCAAACTATTATTTAAATTATTTGATATAGAAATTGTAAAGATATATATTTTGATATTGATATGATAGTATAGTAATTATGAATTGTCGGCATAAGAAATATCATAATTTGATCGTATTTGACTTTGAGAAGATTATAGATATTAGATAGAAAGTTTTCTTTGATAAAATGGCATCGTGTTATCTACATCTATAATTCTGCGCGCCCTGAACCCTTGCAATTCTATCTTTTGAGGCGCTTCTTCGTGATAGTTTCTTGTATGATTATCTCGTGCGACTAAAAATCCTGGAAATTTTCATTGCG